TCCAAGCTAAATAAGCCCAGTTCACTCAACCTTTCCTCACAGGAGAGCTGCTCCAGCCCTCTGACCTTCTTAGTGGTCTTGTTCCAAGCTGGTGGGAGCTGGATGGATGGTGAGGCAGCTGACAGGAGAGGCTCTGTTGGCTTCTCAGTTGTCTGAGTGCAGCTATCCCAGCAATGCAGATGTATTTAACTAGAGAGCAGCTAACACTTTGGCATTTGCTGTTTGCTTCTCTGCATCTCTGTCTGGGTCTCTTTGGTTGCATCAGAAGCATTCATTCGTGCCTGATTTGTATTGATGCATTCAGCAGCTCTGTGTGTGCATTGTGTTTTGCATTGATCCTCTCCCACAGTTAATGACTTTGTAATTAATGGCCTGGATGTCTGATGCTAGGGGTCTGAGAGACAGGCAGGTAATTTGTCCACCCTAAGTGCTCTTGGCTGCCTTGCTTATGAAGTTGGTTGGCTGTAGCTAGCCCCTCTTTGCCCTCTATCTGGTCAGGTGGCACATTTTTCTGTTTCATTCCCAATCACAGGTTTCTATGGATGTGGACTGAACCCTTTGTGCATATAAACAAAATAAAGCCAAGCTTATGGGAAGTGGCTGGAAACCCCCTGGGTGGTTTGTTTGGGGTTAGCACCTTGCTTTTCATCTGCTCTGACAGGGGTGGACAAGGGGCATTTAGGAAACACCTTTCCTATTGTACCCAGGATCAAAGTGACCCCATTTGTCCAGGCTCTCTGCACTGCCTCTGCTTCCTGGCTCCTGGACAAGGCACAGCATGCTCTGTGCCCACACCTGGCTGCCCCTGATGCTGCTTTTGGATCTGCTTATTTATTTTTCATCAGCAGATGATAAGCTGGCAGACACGGAGGTTGGGAAAATCAGGAGGTGTTTGCACAGGGGGAGGAGAGTGGGGACATTTTTGATGATATCAGCAGGATGGAGAGGAGGTGGAAAAGGTAACAGAGTCTCATCTGGCCCAGTGCTCAAATGAGCATTGGAGAGAGACTGTGCAGTGTGAGTTCTGGGGCTTCCAAAAACTGCTTAGGAAGATTTCTGTCTGAAGCAAATGGATTTAGGCAAGTTCCCATGCAGATCAGGGTGCAATCGCAGAGTTTAGGAGCACGTGTGGTGGGTTAGCTTATGAACACAGCTCCAGCAAACTCCTTTGCAGGTTCTGGATGCCCTGAATGCCTCAATGGACCTCATAGTGTGCTGTGTGGGTGCAGATCTGGCAGCGCAGACCCAAAGGAGAAAGAACAGCTCTTTGTGAACAGCATTTACAAAGCTTCACTGCTCTGGGAGAGGCATTTTTCGTAAGATAGAAGGGAGCAATTGAAATAAGGAGTGTCATAACTCGTCCACAGCCAGCAATGAGAATCAGGAGTGTAACCCCTGAGCTGTGCCTTCTCCTTGGACGCTCTGCTAGTGCTAGATCTGCAATGGTGCCTTTCAGACTGTATGCAGACACCCATGAGCTGGGCCAGAGTGGGATGCAAGTTTGATAGCTGCACAGGCAGAGCAGCGGTGTGAAGGTTGGTGGCTGCCATAAGGGAAGCACGAGTGGGCACGTGCTGGGTGCAGCTGTGGGGATGCTCCTGGCCTTAGCGTGCTCCTTGCTGCCTTATTTTTTGGCCTATCAGCTGCACTTGGCTCAGGAAATGTCTCAAGTGAATACATTTTTTTTGTATATACAGCACGTGCCTCTTTGTCTGTTCTCCCCACAAGGGAGACAGGGTGATACCCTCCCCCCCTTCCTTGCTGAGTTCTCTAGCTGTCTGTGTTCCTTCTCCTCGCCGTTTAGGCAAGTTAAAAATAATTATGGTTAACTGCTTTCTGCAGTAGAAGATTACTGCACTATTAAAACTGGAGCGGACACGACTGGGGTGCCAATGAACGTTCTCAGAGGAAGGGTCTGAACATGCAGCGCATGGACCGAAATAGGGCCCTCCTGCTGGAAGGCCCCAGGTGACCCATTGCTCACTGGCGCAATTACCAGAGTCTTGGCAGCTGGCAAGATCAGCAAATGGGGTTTCTGTCAGAGCTTGTTACCTTAATTTGGTTAATTGTAGAGCAGAGTGCGGTTGAGCAGCCAGTTCAAACCAGGTTTCAGAGCACCAGGGTGCCAGGCACGGGCAGGGCACTGCCTGCTCCCAGCAGCTGGTGGTGGGATGGAATGGATGCAGGAGCTGAGGGGATGAGCAGAGCACACCCCTGCCTGCAGCCTGGGATGGGTTTGCTCACAAAGCCCTTGCACAGCCATTGCCATGCTTGGCAGTCTCAGCTGCAAATTTGTACCCGTTGATTTGATCCCAGGTCTGCCTAGAGGCTTGAGTTGTGCACGTTTGGGCTGGAAAGGGCAAGATGGAGTGTCTGTCTGGAGCAGAAGTTCATCCCTCTGTTTTGAACAGCAGGGTGGGAAAGTGTCTGTGATAGAGGAAGGAGGTTAGAAGGACTGAGCTGCACCACCCAGCCCAGTATCCCCAGTCTCCAGCCATGGCCCAAGAGCAGTCACCTGTGGGTGAACCTAAGAACATGGAGGCCCTTCCTGGCACCTTTTTCAGCCTCCAGATCTTCTGCAGCAAATGTAGATTGATGGATTTCTCTTCCAAGAGTGAGTCTAACAGCTGCTTGAATCTCTGACTAATTGGTGATGGGGTGGCTCTGTTAGCAAAGTCAGCTCTGGGTGGGTGCAGTCGGAGCTCACCTGCTGTCTTTTAAAGCTTAGCCCACCTAGAAAGACAGCTGGCATCCCTTTCTGGCAGTCTATGGTCGGTTGGTTTGTTTCACCCCAAGATGTGGTGCTGGCTGTGTCTGTGACCACACTGCTATGAGGCACAAGTCAGTTACTGTCTCTGGCAGGGCAGGATGGAGCTTTGAAAGGACAGCTCTGAGCTGAGATGTCATCTTCAGAGTGGGCTTGTTCAGAAGCCCAGGAATAAACCTGCCATTCCCTGCTGCTTTGTGATGCTGCGTTCAGCTGTGCTCTTCTCCCTTCTGGGCAGCTGTGCCAGCTCAGCCCTTCCTTGATGGCACCACACACAGCCTGGGGAGGCTGGGGAGACACAGAGTGAAACCTGCAGGTGTGACAGAAGAGCAAATGTGAGAACAGAAGGTCAGCAGGTCTTTGGGAGCAGACATCCCGAGGGCTGTTTGAAATGCCCCTGTTTGAAATGCCCACAGAGTTCTCCTACACCATCAGCATGTGATTCCAGCAACTAATTAAAATCCCTGTTAACGAAAACTGTAGCTTATTCCCATAACAAAAGACCTGGAAAGAACTAGGCTGGTAATTATTCAGGAGGTGCTGAAAATAAACTAAGGAGAGCTGAGGCTGTGGGATGGAAGGAGCAGAATGTGATGCCATGCACACCCACCTCAGCTCCATTGTTCAGAGCCAGGCCAGGGCGTTAATACTACATTAAGATGATGTGACTGAACTCATAAGCCAGGAATTAAGGTTAAACTTTGCAGCATTGCATCAGTCTGCGTTTCCACATAGCTCTCCTGTTTCAGTTCCTCGTTTCATTCAGGAACAGGCAGCTGGGCCCTGCTTTGTAGCCTCCATCAGCTTGGTTAATTGTAATTATTGTTGGCTGGTGCTAGACAAGTCACAGCACTGCCTGATCTCTTTGCTTCCTTCTTTTCCTCTGCCCCCTGCCCTGCTTTTGTACTTGTTTTTGTAATGCTGCTCCCAGCAGCAGATGTGTAGCAAAAGAGGGTGCTGAGCTCTGGGTGGGACTCAGCAGGAGGGAGAAGTGGGCAATGGCTGGGATGGAAAGGATGGAGCAAGGGATGCAATGCTCCCACATGTAGGACAGCTCTGTGTCACAGCTTCACATCACTGGCATAGGTTTGGAGCAGTCTCTAGCAACACGCCACAAAGGGAAGCACCCCCAGCAGACCAGAGCCTGGCCCTTTCTCTCTGCTGGGAACGTAGTGCTGTATGTTTAAAGGTCCCTGAAGGCATCCTTGTTTTATCTGCCCTCACAAACAGAGCTATTGGTGGCACTTCCAGTGTGAAACTTCCCAGTGTAAGGGGGGAAGAAAATACTGCAAGAGTTAAAAAAAAACACCTCGTGTTGTTTGTACCCTGTTTTTTCCCCACCTGCAGGGCTGGGCACCCCGTGCTGAGAGCAGAAGAGATAAGCTGCAGGCGCTGCTGACTGCCACGTGATGCAGTGGCTTGGGCGATTAGCAAAGATCTGTGCCCTAAGAGGAATCACATGGGCTGATGGGGGCTCTGTGGCTGCAGTCTGGATGCAGTTTATGGTGCTGAGCCCTGCTTGCTCCCCTTCCTTCCTCACTGAGGGCACCAAAGGGAGCGTGACTTCGCCAACAGGGCAAGCACGGAGCCTCCACTTCAAAAGGCAGGGAACAAAACAGCTGCAGAGTGTTGTGAAGCAAAATAAATAAACCCTTGGCTGCACTGGGGGAGTTGTGACCAAGTATACAATCGAGTCCTCTATTAATGGCTTCTTGTTTCAAAAGCCAGCTCCATAACAGGAACTTTGGATCCTCGAGCCCTAAAGGAGCTAACTTCTGATATTCAAGCCCTAAAAAAGCTAACTTCCCACAATCAAAGCCATTGCCACAACCCTCTGCTTTATCAGGTGGAACTGGAGGAAATCCTGGGGTTTTTATCGAACGAAAGCAGCCTTCAGTTGAGAGAACAATGCAACCATGTCTGTTTGCTTAGCATCTTCCAGCAGGAAGGCCCCCAGAGTGTTTTCTTCATGGGGAGATAGCTGGGAGATTACCTTGGTGATAGCACGTTGTTGTGTGAGAAAGTCTGACTGCTTGCTAATGGCCTGCTGCTCAACAGGGCAGATCTGGGCCCGATTATTTGGTGCATTACCCCAACTAAATCAAGCACTGTAAAACTGGAGGAGTCAGCGCAATCTGAGTGGGTGCAGGTGCTCTCCAACACAGCACCAGAGTGCATCAGTGTGATCATGGAGTGTCTGGCATCAATCCTTTCCTCTTGTTTTCCTCTGTAGGTGATGTGACGAGCCTGGCTCCTGAGCACTCCTTTGAAAACACAAAAGTGGGTGTGGGGAACATCGTGCTGGCCTTGTACAGTGGTCTTTTTGCCTATGGAGGATGGTAAGACGCAGCCCTCTTCCTTTTCTTAGTGTTAAATACTCCAGTTTGTTCCACTTGTCCCTAGGCTGTGTTTGCAGGAGCATCATCCAGGACCTTCCCACTCTCTGTTGTTACCAGGGCAGTGAGGCAGATGGATGCTCTGTGTTCCCCTAGTAATGTTAGTAGTTGTTCTTCACGTGCAATTTCCAGCCACTTTACTGCAGCAGAAAGGCAGCAGATGATGGATTGTTTGAGTTCTCTCCTGAGAAGAAAGCAGGAGGGTGGAATCCCTTAGCAGACACTGACTGCATGCTAACAGATGAGTTTAGGTATGGCAAAGCGGGGAGACTGCCGTGTCCATCCGTGGCAGCACCAAACTCCTGGAGGACATCACTGTCAGCCCCTTTGAGCACCGAGCAGCCCAAGGAGCTGCTCAAATTGCAGTGAAAGCCATCACACTGCTCAGAGGCTGACCCTGCCACCAGCCCTGAGCCTGCAGCCAGCTCCCCTTTCCTCTTGCAGGGCAGCTGGCAGCATGGTGCAAATTACAGCAGCCAGGGCTTGCATTTCTGCAGGTTTGCAACTAGGCATCACCCACTGCCAGTTTTACAGCAAGATCTGGATTCTATCTCACCTAAAACTCCCTTGTAGACAGATAGGGGTGAAGGGCTTTATTTACTAACCTGAGTTCATTGCTGTTCTTTTCACATTGCAGGAATTACTTGAATTTTGTTACAGAAGAGATGATAAATCCCTACAGGTGGGTGACTTCCCTGGGAGGGAAACTTCATGCCTGTCCCTGTTATGTGTTATTATGGGTTGTTCAACAGCCCAGAAGCTTAAGTCCCTCTTTCTAGGGAAACAGGCTAATGGCATTGTTCTGCCTTGGATTAAGGGAAGGGGAATTATGATCTCTGTCTGAGAAGGGCTGTTGCTTACACTGGATTCCCGTGCTGCTGATATTATCTGCGTTGTTGGAGAGTCCTATTTCCTTGGCATGGCACCTCTCTGAATTATAGGCAAGGAAGAGGCACTTACAGCTTTATTGCTTTATTGTGTAAACTCCCACAACAATGTGCAGGCATGCATTTGTCATGTGCTCTTCCTGTTCTGTCGAGAGCAATGGGCTGCTTTCTGCACTGCTCGTGCCATTCAGGGCAGTGCCAAGGGAGCTGGAGAGGTGAGGATGGGCTGCACCAAAGCAGAGCATCGCTGATAGATCCATTCTGCCTGTAGGGAAGGTGCAGCCCTCCCATCAGCATAGGCTTTGGGATCAGAGCCTGCTCCTGGCTGGCCCCAGTGGAGATTAGTGCCTGCTGGGAGCTAAGATTGGTGTGCTCTTTTCTTGACTAACGCAGTTAAAGGAAGTTTTTGCAGTCTGCAGTTATTTTCTTGTCTTCTGGATGCAGCCATGGCATTTGAGTTTCGCCACCTGTGACTTTGGACCAATTATGTGGGGAAATCAAGCAGGGTTTCCTCTTTCAGTTTCTGCTCACAGATGAGGTTAGGCTGCTGGGAAAGGCACGTTTGTACCAACGCAGCCTCAATCTTGCAGCTCCACTCAACCCGTGGCTGAACTCATTTTCTCTGAGTTCAACCAGCTGCATAGAATTAGAGCTTAAAAACAGCCAACTCAACCCCTGCTCTTTTCATCCCCCACAAAAAAGCCACCAGCACAAATGCACATCCGTTGTCCAAAGAGGATGACTGTGCTGATGCTACTAGCTACCAAGAGCCGGGAGGTTTTAGTTTTACTTGATTGCCATGACGGTGACCGTGGATTACTGCCTGCCCAGACAGCCAGAGTTCTCCCTCTGTAAGAAAACCCCCTTCTGCCATCATCCTTCACTCTGTCAGCACCAGGCTGTTCCCATTTTCTGGAGGAAAGCAGTGTGACTGAGATACTGTGTATGCTGGAGAGCCACGGAGGAGCAGAACGGCTCCTGCCAGCTCAAAGTGAGTGCAGGAGGGCTGCAGTGTGAGCCTTCAGCTCTCCCTGTCAGCAGCTGTCTCCTGAGCTCGAGCTGCCTTACAATTGATGTTTTCTTCCTAGAAACCTGCCTCTGGCTATCATCATCTCCCTACCTGTAGTCACTTTGGTTTATGTGCTGACAAACTTGGCTTACTTCACAACCCTGTCCACGGAGCAGATGCTGACGTCCGAAGCTGTGGCTGTGGTAGGTGCATTTCTGATGTGACTCATCTGGCTTCCAGGGCTGGTTAAATTGAACTTACAATCTCTGTATACATCTCCTACTTTGTCCCTCGTTGACGGTGGCTGCATATAAAATAAATAAATAAGCTGTTGTTTGACGGGAAATAAAGAGCAACAGTGACGGAGCAGGGAAGAATAGCATGATACCAGGGGGATTAATCACAGATGGGGGAAGGGGGGTCAGTTAACACTGCTCTTCGTTCAGAAATAGCCCAGGTTGCTGCTCCTGGCCCCATGACTTATCATCAGTTACCGGAACGTGATATTTATGGGAAAAGGTCATGCAGACAATAGTGGACTGAACTGTTCTCTCTCTCTGTGTCTTCCTTGTTACAATTAAGAAAGCAAAAAGAATACCTCCATTAATTAAAATGTCACGGAGGTCAGAAATCTGATTGCTTCAGAAATGAGTGGTGTGGCATGACTTTGCAAAACTGTGTGTGACCAGGATTGTTTGGTGCTTTAGGGGGAATCTCCTGACCCAGGATGGTCTGCGTGGGCCATCAGGTGACAGCTCCATCCTTTGGTCAGCACAGAGCTCCAGCCTGCAAGCCACCGTGTGGCAGCAGGGTTGAAACTAGGTGATCATTATGGTCCTTTTCAACCCAGGCCATTCTATGATCCTATGACTACATGAAACAGCAGCCTGCATTGCATTACTCTAATTGTGTTCCTTTGCATGTCTGTCAAAGTCGACATGACTTGATGGCGTGGGACTGCAGTGTGAGTGAGTTTGTAATTCAAAGCTACGACTCCACGTCACTGTGTTTGTAAGGGGCTGTGTTTCAGTGTCCTCACTCAGCTCCATGCCTGCAATTAGCAACATCTGAATGGCTGAACCTACTTCCATTTGGCTGCGAGCTTTTGGGTAACCGTTCCAATCAATCTGGCCTCTCAGTTCTCAGGGAAAGAGTTAGCTGCTCAGATTTCTGCAAACGTCACAGCTTTGTAGGCAGCCATGAGTTCTCTTGGGCATTTGGGTGTGATGTACTGTTCTTGTTGACCCCATTTAGGACTTTGGGAATTATCACCTTGGTGTCATGTCCTGGATCATACCTGTCTTTGTGGGCTTATCGTGCTTTGGATCCGTTAATGGATCCCTCTTCACCTCTTCCCGGTACGTTTCTTGCTGAGTTTTGTGCTTTGTTTCTTGCTTTGTTTACAAGCAGTGCTCGATGCCTGTGGGTTTGGAACAGTTGTCCTCCCCAGAGCAGCTGTGGGTGGACACAAAATCTGAAGGGTCTGGAGGCCATGTGGGGAATGATAGAAACAAAAATAAAACCATATCTGATTTAAAAAGAGAGCCTGCAGTCATCCGAGTCTTCTGTTCCTCAAGCAAAGTCCTGTTGAAGTTAATTAAAACATAAACAAACAGAGGCATGGAGCTCATTGGCATTGCCTGAGAAAGTGGGTGTAATGAAAACCAGAAACTTACGAAACTTCAAGGCTGAGAACTCCTCCAGAGCGAGGAGAAAGGATGGGGGCAGGACACAGGCTGAGGAGGCTCAGGTCTGATGCATCTCCCCCAGGTTATCTTAGGAAAGTCACTTAACTGTTTGCTCTGGAAAGAAGGACATAAATACATCTTTCTGGGCCATCCCTATCCAGAAGACAAACCCCAGCCCAGAGCTGAAGGTTGCGGTGCTGATAGCTGCTCTGTGTCCCTCAGGCTGTTCTTCGTTGGGTCCCGAGAAGGACACCTACCTTCCATTCTCTCCATGATTCACCCGAGGCTTCTCACTCCTGTACCATCCCTCGTCTTTACGGTGAGCCCTGGGGTGTGATGGGGAGCGTCAGCCTGGTATTGAGAAAAGGGTCGGGGATGGGATCCCAATGAATCATTTGGAGAAGGACTCCAAGTGCAGCCATTTCTGCTTGCTGCTGTGAGAGGGGATAGGTCCTTCTTCTCTTCATATCTTATATTCAGTGGTTTAGCATTAAACGTGGAGGTTGGTGGCCCTGCATGTGGCAGGGAGTTGGAGATTCATGATCCTTGAGGTCCCTTCCAACCCTGGCCATTCTGTGATTGTGTGATTCTGTGATTCCACTTCTGTTTAGTAATCATTCCAAGCACCATTTGAAAATAGCTTAAATGAGTCAAAAAAATGATCAACCTGATTCTCTTCTTGGCAGACAACTCTCGCGTTCGTTGCTTTCATACATGAGGTTTTGCCTACCTTTCCCTTTGCTAACGGCTTTATTTTTTTTCTGGATGCAGTGTGTCATGACCCTGCTCTACGCCTTCTCCAATGACATTTTCTCAGTCATCAACTTCTTCAGCTTCTTCAACTGGCTGTGTGTGGCCTTGGCCATCATAGGCATGATGTGGCTGCGTTACAAGAAGCCTGAGCTGGAAAGGCCCATCAAGGTATGAGCAGTGCAGGAACTGTTTCAGGTCTTCCCAGTGCTGGGCTTTTTCATTTGTGCTCAGAGAAAACATGGGAAATAGCTCCTTCAAACCTGTCAGATGCTTCACCTGCTTTTCCTGTACGGAAAAGGGAGTGGAATTGGAAATGTATTGCCACCAGGAGAAAAGCTGTGGAAGCATGAGCTGTGTAGTTAACGCTGGTGTCCCAGATACATCAAAATCTGCCAAAAGAGTGCACAGAGCAAGGGAGCAAGGGAGAAAACCCTTTGTCCACTGGGTGCACTCGCTATTCAGGAGGTGAGGAGCTGTTGTGACTGTGAGAGCCTGGGGATGAAGGATGCTCTGGGTGGCAGAGATGTGGGGTGGCCCAGCACAGAGCTCTCAGTGACCAGCATGCTCCCCAGGCTGTGGCTCTCAGTGAAACGCTCTGTACCATCGTGGAATTCACTAAAATGATTTAATAAAGTAGTCAAACCCACGCCTGCAGAGATGAGAACTCTGTTCTATTTGTCCTTGGCCAGCTTGGCAGCGCAGCATCCCGGCTGGGAGGAGGCCAAGACCATGTCAGCCACAAGCATGTCTGCCTTCCTTATGGGCATGTTTCTCACTCATCCCCCAGAGCACATTCAGGTCTCTGCCAGGCAACAGGGGGCCAGAGAGAAACAAACTCCCAGACCTGTACTGACGCCTTCCAGTAACTCTTTCTATGGCTTGTGTGCATCTGCTGCTGCATTTGATGCTGTCAGTTCAGATGTTTTTTATAAGGAATCATTCAAGAATGGTTTTCCCTCTTCCCCTGCTATAAGTTCTTACCCATTCTTTGGTCTGTGTTTAGGTGAACATCTGCCTGCCCATTTTCTTCATCCTGGCTTGCTTGTTTCTCATTGCTGTTTCCTTCTGGATGACACCAAAGGAATGCGGGATCGGCTTTGCCATCATCTTCAGCGGGATTCCTTTTTATTTGTTTGGGGTCTGGTGGCAAAACAAGCCCAAGTGGATTCTCCAGGGCATCTGTAAGTATTGCCACGGCAGAGCAGGGGTGCAGCAGTGCCTCTGGTGAGCATGCTGCAGCTAGCAGCGCTGGCTCTTGTTTGTGCAGTGAGGACTCCCAAAGCCTTGGCTCTGATCGATGCTTTTAGCGCCAACAAGTTTTAGCTTGATGATTACCTTATCTATCAAGCACCTAAAGTGCACCTTGCCTTGTGATAATTGCAAAATTTGGGCCAATTATCTGCGGTGGAGCGTAACTCAATGAGCACGTTACTGCATTCTCCCCCTTGTAAGAGCACAGGGTCAAGCCTTTGCCAGCAGAGAATACCTCTGGAGTGGTGTTGGGAGGGAAAAGTAATAACAGCTCAGCAGTCTGAGCACAGTTGGCCTAAATTTGACTGCTGTCAGATCAGAATTAGTCCCACTTCATCGCTCAGCCAGCGCTAGCATCTATTCCAGTCAAAGCTCCCTTTGACATCCAAATGTGACAGCAGAGCAAGTGGAGGAGAAAACCCTTTGTCCACTGGATGTTTTCTCTTATGAGGCTTATTTTTAAGGCATCTTTGGGTAAGGTTTTCCAACAGGGTGTATTTTGAAGGGCTGGAAAGGCTGTGCTTGGCACAGGCATCTGCTGTCTGAACAACTGCATCAAGAAAGTCAGTCCGTGTTGCCCAAGCACTGAGGTCTCCCATCTGTCTCCCAGCCCTTGTGCAGCAGGCTGACCCAGAAAAGCAGACATGTAGAAATGCCCAGCCTCAGCTGGGTGCTTTTTATGAAGAAGAAAAAGATGCTTAACGGTGCTCAGCACTCGTAATTCTTTATTTTTAGCTTTTTTTCCCTCACTTTTTTTTATTATTCCGAGTATTAGGCTCAGTTCCTGGAAGAGCTGTTATTGCTGTGCCCAGGTGGTAAATTACTGTATTAATTAATTTCCCCTCACCAGCAGCTTTTAAGGATAAGACAGAAAATCTCTAGGAACACACAGCGATAATCCTGCAAACGCCCCGTTAGAAACTTAGTGAACTTTAAATGTGTGTATATGAATATACATTGTGAATAATTTGATCACCTCCAACGAATCTGAGTTTGACTCTGCTTGCGTGCTTTTATAGAACTGCTGCTGGTTTTCCTTGGCAAGACTGCTTTGTGGGCATCCAAACAGGGAAGCAGCAGAAAGGTGTGCTTGGATAGCAGCCACCATAATGAATGCTGGGAAAATACCGAGGTCTAAAGAAGGTGCATTGCTAAGGTTTTCCAAATTGGAAGGAAGCGCTTTGGCCTGTGCCCCTTCCTGCTATTGTGCTTGACTCTGTTTGGACTGCTTACAGCTCTGGCATTCAAATGCAGTTACTGTGTCATCATGCAAGTAGAAACGGGTGCCGAGTGGTTCCAGGGCAGTGCAGCATCCATCTGCAGGAGCAAAGCTCCCACTCTTACATGCTCGAGTTCTAGGCAGGAGTGGAGAGCAGCCTGTGGTTTGTTTGCTCTCAGGCTCTGCACTGTTCTTGGACTAACCCTGCTCAGAACGGCAGTGGGTTGGCTAGGAGCGTGCTCTGCTTATTCTGAGACAAAGAGTCGTGAACTGAGACCAAGATAAATATGCCAGGCCCTCTGTATGCAATCTCTTTGACCCGTACTTTGCTTTTTCTCTCGTAGTCCACGCAACAGCCATGTGCCAGAAACTGATGGAGGTGGTTCCGCAAGAATCGTAAGCAGGAAAAGCAGAGACGTTCAGCCTGAGGAAACGCACAATATTGTTTTAAGACGACACAAGGAGAAAAAACACTTCTGACCCTTCATCAACAAAACCTAAGCACTGGAGCACCCCGTCAGAACTTCATGTCTGACACGGTGCCGCCTGCTCTGCCTTGCCTCCTCCAGCCCTCCTGCTGCCGCCTGAGAAGTTCTCGGTACCAACGTGGGCCAGGAAGAGGAATTCCTGCTGGCGACTTCCTGTGCATCCAGTCAGCCTCTGTGCGTGTGAGACTGAGGGCCATACCTCAGTTCTGTGTGGGCTTAGTAAGACGAGCGATGAGCCTAACCAACCTGCCCTGCCTGGTCAGGGGGTGGATGAGGAGGAAGGGTTGTCTGAGGGCTTGGGCTGGTGCTGGCTCTCACGCACGTGCAAGCTCACGTCTAAATCTGTGCTACTGGTGCTTTGTGTTCTGTGCAGGGAGCGCCACTGGTGGTGATGGATAGAGGTGAGACAAGGCAGAGCAGAACTAGTGTCAGAGAAATGAGAATGAGGACTTGGCTGTCTGGTCCCCGGCTGTTGTGTGGTTGTAGCTCTCGGCTCCAAACCGTCTCCTGCTGTTGAGCCAGATCGCTGGGATGCCCTTCTCAAAAATGCCCACCTTGAGCCCCGTGTGATAGCGCTGGGATGGAGCAGGCCCTGTTGCTCCCAGTGAGCCCAGGGAACTGCAGGAGGTCGGTTCCTTGGCTTGCTCACCCTTGTTTTCATGTAGATGTCATCCAACGTGGGGTGAGCCCTGCTTTGCCCTGTCCTTGCCCTCGGGGTGATCAGTGCATGCCCCTAAGCCAACTATGAAGATGAAATATGGGTGGGATTCCCCTGGTTTGTTCCCTGGGTTCTGCATGGGAGGTATGACCAACTGGCTCTGGGGAGTAGGAGGGGGCACACACCCCAAATGGCTGGGGCCTGCTTTAATCCTGGTCTGCTGTTTTGCTCAAGGAAGCCAGGACTGGAGGCTTCTTGAAGAAGTGGCTCATATTGCCTCTGCACTCCAGGTGATAGTCAATTAGAAATCGAATGCATCTTTTCCCCACCAGTAAGCTGCACTTGTCTCTGTTACGATCTTCTTTGTGCTTGTGCTTCAGAAAATGCTTGTTGATTCTTTTTTTCTCTACCATACTTTTGTAAAGTAAGCTGTTTGGAAGCTGGTATCCTCCAAGAGCAATTGCTATCTACTGGATTCTCTCCTCTTAGCGTAGAGTCATTTTGGAGAAGAGGCATTAAGGACACCAATGGTACTACTAGCTCATGCTTTGTCCTTTTAAGAAGCTCTTCAGCAAAAAAAGCATTTAAGCTTCTGTCCCAGCGTGTGTGGCAGTGACCACAGCTATGTCCCACATGTGTCTACGTGCAGCTCCTTGCTACCGCTTTGCCAGGCATGCATCTTTGCTTTAAGGCAGGGGTAGGTGAGACAATCATCACGCTGAAACCTTTGTGGCCACATGCTTATTCCGTAGCAATACAGTGCAGAGATACCCAGCCCAGCTCTGCTATGCTTCACATGTGTCAACACAGAGCTCTGCTCGAGCTGAGTTAACCTATGGAGAATTGCAGCTGGTTGGGGTATGTCTGCAGTGCAGAAGTACCCAAAGTTCTGGCCAGTGCATGGCTGTTCAGGGACCTACGTGCAATGAACTGGAGCATCTCAGAGCCAGCACCCATGGAGAGACATTTGCATAGATAAGGTCATGAGCTATATAAATCCTGAACTCAGTTTCCCCTCTTTGCGAGGAGTCCTCTTCCAGCTGAAGGCTGATGTTTTTGCAGGGTAGTGATGGGAGGTCGCTCCTTATGGCCTGCTTCAAGGGGAAAAACCTGTCTCTCCCCTTCCCCTTTGGTCTTGGCAGGTTTTGGCTGCAGCGGTCTCAGGATTGGTTTCCTGCAGGGCCTGGATTGAACTTAGGGACTCTCAGTGCTAATAATATAAACCAGCAGAATTAAGTTGAGTACTGATTTACAGCAGATTTAACTTGCATCACAAGACCAATCCACAGAGAGCTCAGAAATGGGTCCAAGTCTCCCAGATGTGTGGGGATTGCTTGGTTTGGGCATATCTCTTAATGAGTTTCATCGGTGATGAAGACCATCAACAAACGATATCCTCTTGGTGACCCTTTCACACTGGTTTTACAGAGGAGATGTCACACTGAGATTTATTTTTTTATTAACTGATCTTAATTAAAACCTTAACTCGCTCGCTTGCTTTTTAAGAACGTTGATTACTTTCTACTTGCTGCTAAGGATCTTTCTGTTGTGCTACTAAACCTGCTGCCTCTGGCATTGACATTGCACGTTGTGCGGTGACCTTGTTTCCACAGCAATAGAGGTATAGGGAGAAACCCAATCAGGCACCAGCACAAATTCACACAACTTTTGTATTGGACCAGCTCACATCTCAGCCCTCCCAAAGCCTGATTTCTTATATCCCTGGTTCATAGAGGCTGCTCATTCCCCACTGGTAGAGCTTGGTGGCATGGCTGGTAGAGAAGGCTTTTATACTAGAGATCTGGGTGGTGATAAATAAGGAGATAAGACCAAATTTCATTTCAACAAGAAAATGTGACTAAAGCCATTTCTCCAAGGGGTGAAAGCTGTAAGTGGCTGTGGCTCTGTAGTCATGTCCCTGTGAGCATTACTGTGCAGTGACTGTTGTACAAAGCTGAGCCCTGAGCCCTGCTGCTCTTCATGAAGCTTGGCTGTGAGTTTTTGGAGTCCCAGCACTGTGGGTGTTACGGAACAACATCCCATGGGATTCAGAGGAGGCCACAGCCCATGGCTTTGCTTCAGGTTCCTCTTCCTGAGCACAAACCTGCTCTGGTAAACAAACCATTGTGTTCCAGCAGTCCCATCTGTCCACAGCTGAGTTCAAAGGGGCTCCAGTGCTTGCACAAACTTTCAAGACCCGTTGGGTGGAAGCTGGTGCAGAATGGCTTTGTTCTGTGTGCTGAGCATCATGGGAAGAGCTGTGCTGTGCTGCTGGCCCTGCAGGAAGGTTTCCTCTGTCTGCTGCTGCCTGTGCCTTTAGCCATGGCCACAGTGCTCTCAGGCTTTAATAACAATCCAAAAGGAAGCAAACAACTGTGTGCTGTCCTTACACAACACGTTGGCTGTCTGGGTGGGACAGCAGCTTGTGCACAGCCTGGTTCCCAAAGACATCCAAAGGGAAGGCACAGAACAGCCAGACCCTGCTGGGATTTTGCCTTTGGAAGCTGCTGAAGCCACACTGCAGCTGGGGAAGGGCAGCCTGAGAGCTGTGCTGAGAGTCAGCACCTCCCCAGAGCCCTGCATTACAATCCCATGTCTATCCGTGCTGTGGATGGGAGGTGGTCCTGTGATGGTTGAGCCCTCAGCCCGGAGCTGCCACAGGGCTGTCCTTTGCTGCTTGCTTCAGAAGCAGCCGCAGCCTCATGGCTGGCTTTGCCCACGAGTGGGAAGTTTCTTCCCAGTTTACACAATCCAAACTGGAACTGGCAACGGGGTGGGGGCTGCACGCTGCTCAGGGTCTGCCGTAGCCCCTGGCGTGGCACAGCCCTCCTCCCAGCCATGGCAGTTGGCGATGTCCCTTGGGTTAGGTCATCCCTAAGGAATCGATGTCCAGAGGATTTTTCTTTGCTTTGAGCTCCTTGCGTTACAAGGGGTGATGCTTCCCCCAGCTGCTGAGCGTCAACGAGAAAAGGAAGAAAAAAAAAAAAATAAATATTTTTTTAAAATACTGAATTAATTCTGAAGTAGCCTAAAAGAGACTTTATATCTACATCGTAACTATTTCCATCGGTGACACCCGTCTCAGTGCAGGCTTCTGGCTGCCACGTGCCATGCGGTCCTGCACAGGGATGGCTTTCACACCCCAAGAGATGTCCCCATTTGTTCAGGGGACAGAGCGGGGCCCGTGTCCCCCCCAGAGCCCTGCAGAGAGGGACTGTGGTGGGATGTGGACCCGGTGCTGACCTGTGGAACAATGGTGAGAGTCACTGCTGGAGAATGAGCTGCCTTTTCCGAGCAACCTGTCTTCTGAAGTTCATATTTTTGTCCTTTGTTTTTAAGCAGGAAAGAGTTATCTCGACCTCCAGAAAATCTACACACCTGTTTTACCTTTTTTTGTTGCATTTGGTTGCTTTGCAAAAGAAAAGAAAAGAAAAAAAATTACTAATTTAAATGTTGCTGTAGATGACGTTCTATTTATTTTTAAGGGGTAAATATCTTTTAAGTCTTAATACTTCTACAGTCGATGCTATTTACAGTGTCTGTGTCCCATTGGCACAGCAGTTCAGTGGCTGGCCGAGCTGCTCCGCCAATGGGAACGCCATCAAACTGCCTTGTAAAACAAAATGTCTCCCACCATGTATTTTTTCTAGTATTTCTTGATTCTTTTATGTCGGTGGTTAACAAACCTATTCCGTGTTCGGGTTGTTTTATGTTTTGGGTTGTCTGTTGGTTTTTTTTTTGTTTGTGTTGTCGGTTGTTTTTTAACAAAGAAAGCTGAATTACAACTCTCCTGTTGCTGGTCTTTGCCTCCAACTCTTTTCCTTTCGCATAAGGTTCTGTTGTTGGTCCTGAGGTCCCTCTGCCCTTCCTGCTCTCACGCGCACATCCCTGTGTCTGGCTGGGCCTAACGCAGATGAAGGTGATGGGGAATGGGTGATGGGAGGCACACGGAAAGGTGGAGGTGTGAGGAGTGCCACTGTGGGCACCAACTATAGAATCATAGAATCACCAAGGTTGGAAAAGACCTAAAAGATCATTCAGTCCAACCGTTCACCTATTCCCAATAGCTCCCACTAAACCATGTCCCTCAACACAACATCCAGCCTTTCCTTGAACACCCCCAGGCTCGGTGACTCCACCACCTCCCTGTGCATCCATTCCAGTGCCTGACCACCCTTTCTGAAAAGTAATACTTCCTCATGTCCAGCCTGAATCTCCCCTGCCGTAGCTTGAAACCATTCCCTCTGGTCCTATCACTAATGACACGAGAGAAGAGGCCGACCCCCAGCTCACTCCAACCTCCCTTCAGGAAGTTATAGAGAGCAATGAGGTCTCCCCTGAGCCTCCTCTTCTCCAGGCTGAACATTCCCAGCTCCTTCAGCCTCTCCTCATATGGCCTGTGTTCCAGACCCCTCACCACCTTTGTTGCCCTTTGGGAGAAGATGGGACTGAGGTTTCTCATTCTACACTCTTGCAGACACCGACAGGGAGAGGTGGGCACAGAATGAAGCTCCAAGCCCAGCAGTGCGTGAGGCTGCAGTGCTGCTGCACACATTGATACGGGATTTATGCACTGCGGCCAGCTGGGTGGGGGTTAACAATTAGTGAGCTCCCAAGAGGCAGCCCCAGCTTCAGGAGTGAGTATTGCATCTGCTGCAGAAAGTAATGCTTGGAGAGAGTGGTGGCAGTGCTGCATGGAGCCCTGCAGCCACCTTAGAGCAACCCCAGCTGCTGCAGCAACATTCTGCTTTATATGAAGTGAAGGAGGAAGTCAGGGTACAGAAATGAGGGCATTTCAGGGCTGTTGTATGCAACCAGGGGCACTTGCTGCATTAGAGGTGCTCAGTGGAGGTATTAATCTAAGGAAAACATCTCTAAAAGCCAGCGTGGGCAGGGAGCGGAATAGCGTGTGCCACCAGATTTATAAGAGATCACTCACAAAGTGACAGCTGTGGCCAAAGAAGGAAAACAGAAGAGAGAATAAACCCTGATAAGACACAGCAAACATTGCATTCACAGTGCTGCCACCAGCATGAGAACGGGATGGGGCTGGAGCCTGCGGGAAGCTGGCTCTGAACAGGGCTGTGCAGACAGGGAAGGTGGCAGTGGAGAAATGACATGAGTTATTTGTGTTGTGTTCATTACAGCCTTGCTTAGAGAAGTTCCCAAGCTGGAGTTTTGCAGGGAGCATGTGCAAAGAGCTGTGCCAGATGAAGCGTGGTGCTTGGAAGCAAAGCTCCAGATCTGAGTTTGGAGACTTGGGAAGATCCTGGCAGGCAGGTCAATGCATGGCCCAGTGGTGACGTCCATGGTGTGGGAGGGGGCACACGGAGTGCTGGGGTGGGCAGAGGGTGCAGGGATGGCCTGGAGCAGTTGCAAGAAGCTGTGATAGGGAATACAGTGAGCAGAGATAGAGAGAAGAGCGTCCTGGGCAGAAAGACAGCCTTGGGATGGGGTAGGAGCTGACAGCTTCTGGTGACCTGTGTGAAATCCACAGTGGGCTGCAGTGAGGGATCTCACATGAAACAAAAAGCAGAATTGCAGTGCTGCTCTGTGGCGTTACTCTGTGCGTCCATCCCGAGCACAAAGCTGCCTCACTCATCCCAGCACAAAAGCAGGAAGAGGTTTCAGCACACTGTAATGTTCATCACACGATTGTGGGCAGAGGCTGTTGGTGAGACCAGAAGTCTGCCCGCACCAGAGTTCAAAAGGAGAGGAGAAAAGGGGCTGTTGTGAAGCACAGCAGTGCTGAGGTCCATGTTCCCAGGGCTGGGAGGACTGAGTGGGAATGGGGCTGAGCTGTGATGGGAGGAGAAGGCTGGGAACGCAGCCCTGGAGCGCATCAGACATGGAGATCAATGTTTTCCCATTTCTCTCCCCAAAACCAAAGTGGTATGGAGATGCTGGGGGGTCTGCCACCGAGGATGGATGAAGCAGCATAGCAGTACCTCTGTGAGCTGGAGGCAAGCCTGGCAGAAAGCATTAACACAGTCATTTATTTGAAGGTTTGTGTACAAGATGAAAGGTACCAAATAAATGTGTTTGCAGAGGGAAGGAGGCAGCCTGAGGGCAGGGTGTGATGCGCTGGGAGATGTTTCAAGGGCACAAATGGGAAGGAAAGAAAGGAACTGAGGAGGGGTTGTGGCTAGAGCCTCTGAGGGGGGTAAATTAACGTAGCAAAATGAGATCCAGGTGTGAGGAAAATTAACAGTACTGGCATTGACCAACTGCCTTGCAGCAAAGTAAAGAGAAGAACAAAATTGTCTTCTTAAAGTTGAAGCAGTGGAAGTTCTGCTTTTTTTTTTTTTTAACAAAAAGGAGCCACGAGGAGCGGCCTCCATGTCTCCTAATGAAATAGAGGTGTCTCTCAGAAGGTTGGCAGTCTGGGCACTCCTCTGGCCGTCCAGCACTGTGCTGTGCTCCTGCTGCTCTGCTTGCACTGTCATCACTCATCACTTTGTCATCTTTTGGAGCACAGCACCAGCAGTGCCAGGGACATGCAGGAGGGGTAGAAACGCACTCGCCAGGGCTCTGATAAAAGCAGATGACTGACTTCTAAGGCTGCAGCTGGAAGAGCTGAAGGTCTTTATCCATGCTCTGTCCATGCGTGGTACCAGTGCAACGCAAGCTGTGAGCCAGGCATCAGCAAACACCTCCCCAGACTGCTGGAAATGAGGTATTGTCTGTAACAGCACCATGGCAGCACTCACAGCCTCCAGAGCAGCCAGCGGCATCCTCACCAAAATGAGTAATAAAAATAAAATGTGCAGAGCCTCACGCACGCTGTGTGCCATAAGCAAATGGTGCGGATGTGGCAAGGCGCCTGTACAAACCCTGCAAGTGTAACTGCGTGGTGGGAACTCAAACATGTTCTCCACTTGGATTGAGTTCCTGGCGGATCCAGGCAATGACTGCAGGAGCTCCAGAGCTCACAGAGGTTCCTGCTCCACTTGCCTGGAGCAGCAGTGGCCGCTGTGACAAGGAGCTCATCCTTCCTGGCTGGGGGAGCTCATAAATCAGGTCTGGGCATCGCAGGTATTTGGGCTTGTGGTGCAATGAGGTGTGGGGTGAGGTGCTGCTGCACGTCCCGTCTTGAAGTCAGCAGATCAGCTAACACAAAAGGCAATGTCTGGAGGGTGTGCTGTACTTGCAGGCCAGGAGGGACCAAAGCTGCTGTCATAAAGGGCACGCAGAGCTGCTGGGCCTGCAAGGACTCGCAGTGGGGCTGCTGCTGGCCCCTGCTTTCATTAAGCAAAGTCAGCAGACCAACTGCATGTAGGTAATAAACCCAACTGTATGTGCAATCTGAGCTGAGTAAAGCAAGCTGAAGGCATTTGGGGTTGCAACAGCTGCAGCAGGGAGCTATGGGCAGATCAAGGGTGCAAAGCACTGAGGAGCTTGTGTGAGGATCTCAAGGGAACGTGGCAGGGGGACATTGCACCGTGAGACCAGGGACTGGAGGGGGTCCCCATCCTTGTTGTGTCCCAGAACTGCAGCGATGTGGCACTAAGGAATGTGGCTGTGGGCACAGTGGGGTGGGCCTGAGGATCCTAGAAGTGATTCCAACCTGAACAATTCTGTAGTTCTAAGATGTGGCTTCACCACATCTCGTGCTTGGTGCACACTGGGCTGCTGGCTCCCAATGCCACCATGTCCGTCTGTCTGTCTGCAGCTCCCCCCTGCTGAATGGCATTTCACTGTTTGCCAGCATTGTGTCTCCTTACGAAAAAAAGCCCAGATGGACAAAGCTGCTTTCAAAGAGGTGCTGCCTTTCCGTGGTGCAAAGGGTTGGAGCTCTCACATGCTGTGCTCTCTTATGCAGTTGCTGCAAACATCCGTGCTGGCTGCAGGCAGTGTATCACGGGGCAGGAGCAGGAGCTGCAGTGCAGAACAGGGAGGTCTGGGCTGACCAACTGCTAATTGGAGCCTCCTTCCTCAGGTGGGGAGAATAATTGGATGAACACAAAGTGCCAATTCCTAGAAGAGGGCTATTTAAAGCCACACTAATCCAAGTGTACTGCAGTACCTGTGCGTAATTGGAAATTATCGTCGCTGGTAACATTTTGGTTTCGGAAGGAATATCTGGGGATGGAAAAATCCTTCTGCTGATTGAACAGTCTGGAACCTGAGCAAATCCAGGCAGATGATAAGACCAAATATCTTGAGAATCATCTTCTATAGGATTTTCCTCTTGCTGCACGGGTCCAGTGCCACCTGGGTCTCTGCGCTTGCAGGAATGGAGCCCTTCACCCCAAAGTTTGGAGCTATGGTGGGATCACAGAAGTGGAATTCAGAAGGGGATCTCCTGCAGGAACACAATTTACAAACCTCAGCCACTTCAATGCCTGCTTGCCGTGACCTGTTCCCTGCCCAGACAATGGGGAAATGGGGAAAGGCTTCAACCCAAGAACACAGAGAGCGGAGCTCTGTTGATTCATGCAGGGGGTTAGGTGGGGAAGGGTGCTTTCATGTGGTTTTCCTCGCCCTTATTACACAAATTCCAGGCTTTCTGTGGAGCTCGCTCCCTCCACTGCGTGCCACCAGTCCTGGTGTTGATTCGGGGATGCTTGCTCTGACTATCAGCACGAGGGCTGATCTCCTGCCTCTGTGCTCCAAAAAAGAAACCACAGGCACAGGGCAGGCTTTTCTCTTCCCTCCCTGGGGCAGAGTTAGTTTGGAGACTGCTGAACTCCATCCAGGTGCTTGGGAGGAGACAGGGAATTGGAAAGCAAGAAGAAAATTGGCCTGGCATGCAAAATGGAGCTTAATCCCACATTAGATCAAGGAGTGAAGGTGCGTT